CCACTTCTCCGTTTTTATAGTTATCAGCATACAGAAGCAGCCTCGTTTCAAATTAATGAATCATTTTTGAAGGAAGAATAAGTTACTATATTAAAACTTTCTGATAAAACAAAAATTCAGTTAAGACTCGCCATTTATATCTGGCGCTCTTGTAAGCTGCAATATTCACGTTGCAAAGAATGTAGTTTTAAAGAGTTTCACATATCATTCCTCTCCCCCCCCCAAAAAAAAATAATCTAGAAATTAAAAATATACGATGGTCCACCTAAAATATTTAAATGGGGCTGAACATCGATAAAATAATTCTTAAAAATGCAGCCCCAAAGAATGGGATTTTACGTATTATTTGTTTCCTTACAAATTGAAGGCATAAAATACAAACAGTTATGATTCTTACTATCTATGAAGGACGGTAAGATTGGGATTCTCAGACTAGGAGCCGTAGCAAGTACACAATACTGTTAAGGTACACAGTTTCTAAAGCTTCATTGGGTTGGTGGGTGGGGCTCAGTCAAGATGTGGAATGTTGTGGGGCTGACAGAGTTTGGGAACCTATTCATTAAATATCGATTTTAAAAAAGGAATTATAAACAAATATATATAGTGATTTATAAAACCTTACATTCTATATCGTCATAAGAAATCAACCCACGAGGCTCTTTGGCCAGTTAACATGGGTCTACAAGGCATCTATACAAGTTAAGATGGGTCTAGAAGACCCCCATACAACTACGCTCTCGAATCTTCCTTTTATAATGATTCAAATATTATACGTGCGAATTCAACATGTTTAATTAAAGATAGTTAATTCTTATTAAAAAAAACAGCAATAAGTCTAGTATTTAGAATGAACTATGATGCAATACAACTTCCTAACTCAATCTTCTCTCTTTAAACTAATTTTTGATAATTATTCTTTATAGTTAACACCTATAAAACGGCTGTTAATTTAACACTGTAAAGTGCAGTTTGTTTATAAAGAGTTCGTTTATTTGATAAGTTTCAGACATTGCTCCACGAACTCTATCCCTGCCTTAAAGAACGCAATTCACTCGATATGGTTGCAAAACAAAATTCGTATTAAATTGCTCAAACTGGCCATTAACATTGAAAACATAATTTATGATTAATAAGTAATTCCTCAAAAAAGTATTTTCCAATTTCGCGCGTTACTGATTCTCTACATCTTCTGTTTACTTTTTATATATCATTATTTGACTTACACCTCTAACAAATATTTCCATCTTTTACAATAGTTTGAAAATGTTGGTATTGTTTATTTCCTTTTCTCAAAAAACCCAAGTCTATATTAGGTGACTGATAACACTTTATTCTTGGCTTTAGTAGCAGTGCATATTCCTTATTCAAAGACTAAAGTTTTGTCACCTTACTATTACAAGCATGCGATTTATGGCTTTATTTAGTTACTGCACGATCATATTGACACATTCCTATTCAAAGTAGGGCCGAACGTGGCCTAGTGACTATCACGCCCAAACTGTGATTTCGAGGATTCATGGCTCGCGACACGTTGCTCCAAAAATGTGTTCCGCATTTTGGCGCCGTGGGTACTTAAGAAGTGGCGGTCCAATTCAGTTATTCGATCAAAAAAATAGAATTAAAGTAGCCGAAGAGTTAGCGGTGGGTGCCACAGAGTGCCTACATTCTCTCTTATTTATCATTTTAAAATTGGGGACGGCTATACTCAAATAAGCCATGTGTAGATTTGGGCGAGATTCTTAAAAAAAACTAGTGAAAGTTATATATCGTTGGTTAAGTATGATAATAGTATTATTACATTAAGTACATTATATTAAGTATTGTATGAATAGAGTTTTATTCATACAATACTTCTACCGGTTAGCTTTTCATACTTTGCAACTTGGAAAAAATAGTTTTCATTTCTGATAAGTAAGCATTCATAGCATATACTTTGTAGTTCTTTATGTTTCATATAATTCTCAAAACTCAGTAGAGAGGCCCAAATAATAAAAGTCGCAACGTGTTGAATAGGTGCTATAGTAGTAGATTTGATGGAAATACATCGCTTAATAATATACTTAAAAGTGAAGAGCAGTACTCAAACAAGGCTCACAACTCTTGTCATTGATACCGCGCTTGGAGTAACGGCATATAGACAGAGCTATAACCTTTTATATCTTATATTGTGTTTGGACCGAGTAACGGTATACAGACACAACGATTTCTTATATCTTATGTTGTGTTTGGACCGAGTAACGGTATACAGACACAACGATTTCTTATATCTTATGTTGTGTTTGGACCGATTAACGGTATACAGACACAACGACTTCTTATATCTTATGTCGTGTTTGAACCGAGTAACGGTATACAGACACAACGACTTCTTATATCTTATGTTGTGTTTGAACCGAGTAACGGTATACAGACACAACGACTTCTTATATCTTATGTTGTGTTTGGACCGATTAACGGTATACAGACACAACGACTTCTTATATCTTATGTTGTGTTTGAACCGATTAACGGTATACAGACACAACGACTTCTTATATCTTATGTTGTGTTTGGACCGAGTAACGGTATACAGACACAACGACTTCTTATATCTTATGTTGTGTTTGGACCGATTAACGGTATACAGACACAACGATTTCTTATATCTTATGTTGTGTTTGAACCGAGTAACGGTATACAGACACAACAATGACTTCTTATATCTTATGTTGTGTTTGGAGTGAGTAGCGGTATACAGATACAACAATGATCTCGTACATCTGATACCGTGTCTGGAGTAAATAACGGTATAAATGCACAGCTATAATCTCTTATATATGTCTGGAGTGAATAACAGTATAAAAACATAACTGTAGCCTCTTAAAGCTGATACCGTGTCTGGAGTGAATGACTGTATAAAGATACAGCTGTAACCTCTTAGTCTGATACCGTGTCTGAAATGAATAACGGTATAAAGACACAGTTATAACTTCTTATATCTGATATCGTATCTGGAGTGAATACCAGTATAAAGAACACAGCTATAACCTCTTATATCTGATATCGTGTCTGGAGTGAATAACGGTATAAAGACACAGTTATAACTTCTTATATCTGATATCGTGTCTGGAGTGAATAACGGTATAAAGACACAGTTTTAACCTCTTATATCTGATATCGTGTCTGGAGTGAATACCGGTATAAAGAATACAGCTCTAATCTCTAATATCTTATACCGTGTCTGGAGTGAATAACGGTATAAAGACACAGCTATAACCTCTTATATCTGATATCGTGTCTGGAGTGAATACCGGTATAAAGAACACAGCTATAATCTCTAATATCTTATACCGTGTCTGAAGTGGGAATCAATACATAAAAAAGCACTTATAACTCTTACAGACTTGTCTAGCTAGTTATTACAAGTCACTGATTTTTTTCATAATTAGCTTATGAGAACATTAAGAAATTTTCTTACAAAAAGATGTTTTAGAATTTTATTAGAACATGTTTCCTCCCGTTTGAAAACATCCAGTGAAGGTTTAAAGTTGAATGTATGTAGAAACACAATGTTTAAATCTCTCGTGTAACTGAGGTATTATTTTGCGTGACTCCTCTATGAGGTATGCAGAAAACGATATCATCGCATCTAGGGTTTGGAACGTGTCTTAGGTCTAATGAGAGGCAGCCCCTGTTTACGTCTACCCCTTTGTACTGTAACAATCCTACACCTTACGTCTATTTTATAAGAGTGGTACGTGGTACAGAAAATAACATTCTAAGAACAAATGAATATTTTCTTTTTTCTATGAAAACTCATTATTTTCTCGCACCAATAAACGCTTTCGTGTTTTCTATTACATAAAATACCCCTCTTCTGGTTCTTTTATCAGTAATAAATATCGGCTTGAATGGGTAATGACCTGATGATGACAAAACCTTGTCGAAACGTTGTACATTTGCTGTTATGTTAAACTTATATTAAAGTTTTTCTTCATTACCCATTCAAGCTGTCTCCAGCCATTATTAGTCTCAAAGTGGGTTCCTCGTCATCGAAAGTAATAAATATCGCTCCCCAAACGATATTTCAGTTTTAGGTAACGTTAATCCCACTCTTTATTCACGCTGCCATGTTCTCTACATTCACCCAGAACGAAGATATAACGTCTATACTACTTGTGAAGTAAGTGATTACAACAAACATGTTATCAACGCATGAATAGCCTCCATGTATTAATCAAATCCACAAGTCCAGACAAAGCAGACGGTTTAGCACATACGTATTTTTTTTTTTCTTCTAGCACTAAAGCAGATTAGAAAGACAGGACTATCAAACTTTTCAGTTCGTATGGCTGGTATTATTGAAACAAACATGTAAAAGATCACTATTGAATATCTACTTATAAGGAAGAAAAGGTTGAATATGGCACGCGTAGTAGTTTTATTAACGCTATTGGATACATGTATTATTCCGCGGTTCTATTTTGTCCGAGGTATCTAGTCTTCCGGGGTTGCTCTCATTTTACTATTAAAATTTAAGTTTGTCTTTGTTGAAGTTCCACGAAATGAATCAATTGTGAATACCCTGGAACATATACTGACATTGGTATTTGAGTTATTTAGGAGAAAACTAGTTTTCTACGTTTCGTTATTTCTAAGCTAAAGGTGTTATTAAAAGAAAATACTGAGCAAGAAAGGTTTGTCAGTTATTAAATATACAACATTATCAATTACCTAAACTGTTATTAATGAAAAACTGATGTTTGAAACATGTTGCTTTTAGTTGAGTGATGTAAAAACAGTTTATTAAAAACAAAGCCACACCGCGGGGAATCAAACCCTGGATTTTAGCGTTGTAAGGCCGTAGACATACCGCTGTCCCACTGGGAGACTGTAAAAAATTAGATATGCCCTATAACTTCTTAACACACCGACTATGAAACACTTTTGGATCTTGATAATAAATATCATACTTGTGCTTAGGAATATTCTAGAAAATTATTTTATTCTTAGCGCAAAAAAAGCATCTTCCCAAGTTCTTACAAAATCTTTTTCATAACAATGATACAGTCAGGCATTCCATGATTTACAAAAGAAAGCACTATGTTTCCATTTTGGTTTTTAGATAAGCAATTACAAATTATAAGCAATCATTTACTCACAACAGTAAGCAGCATTTTTACAAGTTATTTTCATCTTGAAGCACATTTTATGTAACATTATTTTGCATCTAAGTAATAAACAACTCATATAATTTATTATACACTAGCATGGGAGATGTAAATAGAAATATACACGATTTCAACGATAGGGTTAGAACATTAAAAACCGAAAAAATAGTCACTTTAAAATACTTATTACTTTCTGTTTCTTTTGACTTTTCTCTTAAAAAGTTTTAATAATACCCTCTCTCTCTATATATATATATTTATATATATCTTAACCATGACACTTAGTTAGTATCTAAGCAATTAGTTTTTATATTAATCAATAACGTGAAATCTTGTTAGCATAAAACAATCCACTACACCTGTAATTTGTAAGAAATTCAGATAATATATTAACAAACACAGAACATTTTAGATAAGTAAGTTTCACTGTTTGCTCATTAATCCATTATTAGTTGCTAGTATTATTGTTCTGTGAATAGAAGCAATCAATGCAAAATAATATTTAATTAATCTGACTGCCCGAATGTGATAATCTATGAGTAAGCATATATTACCCTTCTTTAGAAAACTGACATGAAGTCACCTACAGGCAAAATTATACTGCAAATTGAATGTTTGATATATCGCCACCTACTGGAAAAATTTTGAAACAGATAAAAAAACGTTTATTACTTTTTTTAGATATTATGTTTAGAGGTGTTTTGTAAGAATCAATTTTAATTTCTTACAAATCGCATAGGTTTTGAAGTCGCGGTAGCACTTTGATATAAATTTACACACACACACACACACACAAACCTGGACTTTTGTTTCTATGACATCAAAAATGTAGTTACATAATTTTCACAAATGTGATAGTTGACAAATAACTCAAAACTGTAGAATAATTGTGCAACGATTTTCTGGTGATCCATATTGCATATATATTTCATATTTTAGAAAGCATCAGGATCACTTTTCCGAACGTGTTTAATACAGGTTTTAGACAATGAAACCAGGGTAATAAAAACACCGTGAATATGAAAAAAAAGAGAGAGTATTAAACAGTTGTCATTAACAGCATCATTATTCCATAGTACATAAATACAAATAACCCCATAAAAAATAAATCCAACTGTACTGCAAATCTAACCAATTTATCTCTATTAAATTGGTTACAAAGTAGTTTGATAATCTTTGTTAAATTCAACGATTCTATATTGAGATGTATCCTCTCTTCACTTGATATATAACTTACCAAATTGCTGTTATACAGGACAACATAGAAATGACATAGAAGCTTTAGCAGTTTGGAGTGGTTTACTAAAATCTATTTCATACCACAGTTACTTTTGTATTTATAGTTCGATAAAAAATCAATGCCAAGTGACTTTATATTATGCAGACAGCTTTAAAAAGAAAACTTTCATTTAAACAATTGAAGTAAAACAGTTTTATACAGTGTGTCATGCGCCAAAATTCTTTCAATGTTAGTACGTTTCACTTGTGTATACTTAACTAAATCATTTCCACATTATTACGTCTTCTTTAATACGCCTAAAAATTTACACAACGTACCTAAAAAAAGAACTACTATACATATACTTTTGTATACGTCTCTCATTACGTATATTATTATCGTAATTATATTACGCTACATTGCTTCTTGCTCCACTCACAAGTGTGTAAATCGTGTTTATCCATGTCGTCTGAAAACATGATGGTTTCATTCCTAACTGCCTGCGATATTCTCCATGTTAGGCTTTACTTTGGAGTTACGCCATTAGAAAGCTAAATTATTGATTTTTTTTTTACTTCAAACTTTCAATCACGTTGTTTTTTGTTTTTTTAGTATTTCCATATTTGGAACGGTTGTTGCCTAGTTACGTTATTATTCATTCCAGTAATTAGTAATTTTAAACTTCATACGCCACACTGATAGATACTAAAGGCATTCCGTACAGGACGATTGACTTGGGACAACTCCGCGCAATATGCTTTTGCCTTGAGAATCAAGTGACAAATTCAGCAACCAAGCATGACAGATCACGTGACTAGCACTACATTTAAACAATACAGATATCGTTCTCACATCACTATACAGTTTTTTGCTCGATCCCGGAAGTCATCCTTTAAGTCAAGCTTAGACTTGTATTTGGACTTAACAAAGGTAACGTGACGTGGAACAGTCACGTGGTTTTTGTTGAGTTTGCCCAGTGCCGCGAGTGCTGCCACCTCAAAAGCGTCTCTCACGCTCCGTCCACTGAGTTTGGATGATGTTTCCACGTATGTGGTGGCACCAATCTGCCTGGAAACTGCTAATGCCTAGAGAAACAGATAAAAGTTTAGTGGACCATACTCCATTCTCAAAAATGAAATACTGCACTTCTCTTAAGATATTTTTTTTTACAATAGTTTACGACATGCTCTTTTTCTTTCACACACAAAAAATCTGCATTAAAACAGTACATGGCCCCAGAGAAACCTTAATAAGCTAAATCTCAATTCTAAACCACACAGTGTAAGATAACTTTGGTGCCTAAAACTTTTGAAACTCATTATGCTGAGTTTTGGTCTCTATGCCTACTCGGACAATATCCGATAGTAACAGATGACAAATATATTAGTGACGTGTTCTGAAATGATCGTTAAATATTTGGTGATCTGATCAAAAGTGTATTACTAATCTGATTCTTAGCCGCCCGACTGATACATTATTGCCCTTTTATCCATACACCAAATATATTACTAACCTGTTCTGAGCTGACTTCAAATATGTTACTGACCTGTTCTGAGCTGACTTCAAGTATGTTACTGACCTGTTCTGAGCTGACTTCCAATATGTTACTGACCTGTTCTGAACTGACTTCAAATATGTTACTGACCTGTTCTGAGCTTACAGGGGTCTTTTTCAATTTGGCTAGCAGGGTTAAAGTGTCACTGTCCGTACGAAGGTCACTTTGACAGCCACATAAGAGAACCGGTACATTAGGACAATGATCTCTGACCTCTGGATACCACTGAAACATAAGAAAAAGGGAGATAACATGTGATAACAAATACAGCTAATATAACATTTTATGTACAAAATGCTTTAAATAGATACGGATTATTTCCGTGCTTATGTCGATCCAGGCTAATCAGATTCTTGAGAAAATTTCACATTTCACACATTGATGCACAGATACTTATTGTGTAGCAGTAAAGATATCTTTGAGTGCACTTGAGAACATGAACACAAAAATATTTCCTTCACACGAGAAGTTCACGTACATAATCTCAAACACTGGAAATTAGATAACCGGAATAAAATTAGTAAAAAATAAAGAATAATAATAACCATATTTTACAGCTAAACCTACTGTTCAGACTGTGTAGAACTTTAAAAGAGTTTGTTCAATATTGCTTTACAATATGATCAGGAAGAGATAAAAGAAATGAGCGTTAATATATATATATATATGCTCATCAGTAATACTGAAAAGTTGAAACATTTGCAAATTCATCTAAAAATGTGAAACAGAAATAATAATAAAAGTTATGGGAGCATATCTATGACGAAATGTTACTATGCCAGGGTAATCTGAAATGAATGTGCACATCAGCACTTCAATAAAATATGTTAGGGAAGGGTGGGTCGATAACGTTGATGGACTGCACGGATTAAAAATAAATCAACGTAATACAGAACTTAATTACTACAGATATTATTTTCCTGTATTTTTCTTGCTTTATTACCTATTGTCCCACAGTGAGAAAGAGGTAAGTTTGAGGAGTTTTAATGCTAAAATCCGAGGTTCGATTCCCCGCGGTCGAGAGAAAGCAGATAACCCAGTCTAGATTTTTACTAAAAGCAGACTTATTGCGTCGTACATTACACATATAGAATGTAAAAATAGTCTCAAGTTCTGTAAAAATACGTTATTCATGTGCCCCGAATCCCGTATCGCAACGTTAGTCTAATAATATCGTAACTTTCTATTTTAAAACAAAATTAGCGTCGGCTTCTGAACTTGTCTATTTGTCATTCATTCTGCGTCACGTTTCGACGTGATGACACACACACACACACGCAGTTCACAGTCAAGTATGCTTAACATTATGTGTAATTCCTAACTTACAGTTCAAGATTTATTTAGTAGTCGTATTCCACGTATGATAGATTATTTTTTTCTCGATTTGAAATCATTCAAATTTGGTTACATCTTTTTTTTTTGTAAAAATATATACACATTGTACGATTCTCTTCTCAAGAGTAGAGGTCGAGGATTCTATACGAAAAATACTAATATACTGATGCTTTGATTACAGTACAAAAACCTCATAATATTCTACTAACCTTTGTTGTCTTCCTTCTTGAAATAGAACAGTAAACAATAGACTGTTGTTTATAATCTAAAAAATGTGTACATACGTCGATAGCATTAAAACATACATGAAGTACCAAATCCGATGGTTATGGTTGTTGTTTTTTTAGCCGCGAATGAGCTGCTAATAGAACGGTTCTGAGTTGTTTTTTTTTCCAAGTACAAACTTTTAGCTCACAGCCCCGTCATCTCTTGACCGATTTGAGATCCAATTACAGTTTTGGACTCAGGAGGTCAAACCCTTTCGACTGATGTATTTGACGGTGCCCAAGGTCTCAAAGATTAATTTACTCTAATCCTGCCTAAAATAATTTCAATTTGAAGGTAGTTTGGTAGAGATCCTGATGCATAATATAATCGAATCGTATATACACGAGCCCAACGCTCGGTATTGCAGGCGCATAAAAAACGTAACTAATAAAAAAGGTAAACAAAGGTCTCATAGATTGATTTATTCTAATCATGCCTAAAAGAATTTCATGTGCCACGGTTATGAGTATTCCCTCTTGTTTAATTAAACAACTGTTTCCGTATTCCAGTATGTTATTTTTAGAAACGTATTTTGGTGTGACGTGATGAGATCATTCTTGTCGGTGCTATACGTATCAATTAATTTTTAAATTGTTGTTATAAATGTTGAATGAACTAGTAGCACACTGCGTGTGGTCTTTTATTGGTCTGATCTACCAATATAAAGAAACTGGTGAATTAGGATTCTTCTTTATTTGTTACGTGCAATAATGGAGAACTAAACAGTAGAAGGACAAAAACTGGGATCGTAAAAAAAACAAAAAACAAACTAAAACGAACTACAACACAAATTATACCTACACAGTTCTTACAATATTGTACTTTTGAGGCTACCGAGTCGAGTGGAGAAACGTGTTGAAACTGTTATGTTTAGAAATGAAAAGAAAAAAAAAACTTTTTCACCAAAGATGATGAGGGAAGTAACATTTTCCCAATGAATTAGCTTATCTCCAAGAGTAGAAATAAATGTTGTAACAAATGAAATTTCTTACTAAAAGTTTTTTTTTGGGGGGGAAGATATGAAATAATTTTTCTAGATTTGGTTTAATACGAGTTATTTTACGTATTGGCCAAGAATATGATTAAGGTTTTCTAGACTTGGTTTAACACAAGTTGTTTGATGTAAAACCAAATGTAAGATTATATTTTTATAGATGTAGTTTAGCAAACTTTATTTTATGTAGGCCTAGATGTATATGGTTGAATTTTCATACACGTTGTTAAACATTATTTATTTGCTGTAGTCCCTAAAACGTAAGAGCGAATCTTTCTAGCTTTGGTTTTTTGATGTAGTGCTCGAATGTGTTAGTAACGTGGAAGTGTGGTAGAATTTCTTATAACTTAGTTTTGTAACCTTTGAGAACTAAGGAAAGATGTTCAGTTATGCTCTAAGTTAGGTCCAAACGATATATATTCGGAGTAAACGTCTTTGCGGTTCCAACAGGGTTGTGTATATTGACCCTGAAGAAGCCGCAGAGGCAAAACGTTGGTTAAAATATAAAAATTCCTTTATATATATCTGGAGTATAAAGATAGTGTAAAGATAGATAGTATAAAGATCCTAAACTTAGGATCAAATAGAGTGGATCCTAGAATATATTTCAGTCATGTCAAACATATATAAATACTCTTGGGAGATGCGTTGCTTCCAGTCAAGTGGATTCAGACAATAAAGGTATTTTGGAAACAGCTCTTATAGAAAAATGATTGGGAATTCACCAGAACCTTATCAATACTATGATTTTATGCATACAACGCCGATTCGAGGTCATTCATGGTGACCATAGTCTATGTAAAGTGAAATGCAATAGCTGTAAAGATGTAAAACCACTTCTATCAAATATTCACTTACTTGAATAGTTTCTTTTTTTTTCAAATCACACGACGAATCATCAAATACCTAATTTGCATAAAAATGAACTGAAAGGGAGTGATTTACATTATTTTGTATCAGTGGCTTTTGCCTTGTGATAGATATATATTTTTTAATTTCAATTATCCTTCAATTGTTTTTTGGAGTATAATTAACATATAATTACAGTAATTTTATTTGGTCTAAGAAGAGAAGTAGACTGCTCGTTTATTTATAATAATATGGATGTTGTCTTCACGAAGCCTTTATTTATTTATTTTTAGAGCGCAGCGTGCAAAATTAGTGGTTTACCACGTGGCTGTGAACATGTAAATCAGTTGAAAACTGGATTTTTTTCTAGCCAATGTACAAATGACTCAAAATGTTGTTATAGCAATATAACTCTTTAATATATTCATTTTTATTATCTATTTCATTAGGAAGAAAACTATTTCTGAAACTTGAGAATTCATATCCACATCTTGTTAGTTCATTTTTATGCAATGCCGTCCTTCACGAAGCTAAATATTTATATTTCTGAAACTTGAGAATTCATATCCACATCTTGTTAGTTCATTTTTATGCAATGCCGTCCTTCACGAAGCTATATATTTATATTTCTGAAACTTGAGAATTCATATCCACATCTTGTTAGTTCATTTTTATGCAATGCCGTCCTTCACGAAGCTAAATATTTATATTTCTGAAACTTGAGAATTCTCTTTCCTCTGAAAATTAAACCGAAAAGATTAATTGTTAGTGTAATGCAGTTACGTTGTATAGTGATTATAATGCGAGTACCATCAGAACAGTTTTGATGTGACATTAATTAAAACATACAAGTAACAATGGCGTGAATACAAAAGTCATATTATGCAAACAGAAAAGAAATCCTTTTAAAGTTAGTTTATCAGTCTGTTTTAAAAGTGGATTTATTTTTTAAAAGCATGAAATCTAAAGATTTAATATTCTATATTTAAAAGTGATAAATTTGACTTTGTTTTTGAAAGAAATCAATGTAAGGGACCTATTAGTTCACAAAAAATAAAGCTATGCTTATCTAAGACGTCTTTTTTTTTTATCTCCGCCCGTTGTACTAATCCATAAATCAATTATCGTATAAGGAGAATTAGTAAGAAACTGTTGATATTTGGAGTAGCTGCAAGTATAAAAAAACTAGACATTCAGAAAAATACCCTGAAGCTAGTTGTGCTCATTCGTAATAGCACTCTCCGGACTGTCATGATGTGATGGATACCCTCTCTTATCCTTTGGTAGGAATGTCACTCTGAATTTTGTGCGTTATAGGGATAAGATCTTAGTAAGGCCTTTTTTTTTCTGGCATTATTGGATCTAACTTCATTTTGATGTACGATGCTGCTCGTACCAACCGTGACCTTATTGACTCTGCCTATCTTGGACTATTGTGACAATGAACTGCCCAGCATTTTCGTTGGATCTCATCCCCGTAGAACACTCTTAAGATAAGCTTCGTGAATGAACCTAATTTCTATCTCACTCATAGATGCACTGAACTATATCCACAGACTCGACATTGTGAGGTTGAGCTAGTCGCTCGGAATGAACGTTATTGTTATTATGAAAACTCTAACTTGTGATATCCCTAATATTTTGTGTTGCTGAAGACACTCAGAAGTAGGCGTGGCATCATGTCAGGGGTTATTTTGTAGCATTTCCTTGTTCACAGTGTGGTGTTATGATTTTTGCCTTGAAAATGATAATGAACTTATTTTTCCACTAGTTGATGGTTACTAATTTATTTTGTCTATTATATATATATCACCAATATGGTGAATTGTCAGTACAAAAGATTCATTAAAAGTATAAAACATTTTTGAAGATAGAAGATTTATATTAATATCTTACAATACTTAACAGATAACACAAGAAAGAAATACTTTTTCGCATCCATTCAAACATGACATGTTTTCCTATGACGTTAAGTCAATGTAAGTAAATACATGATTTTTGAGATATGATGTAAAGTAACTTTAATGTTTATACCTGCTTTTCAACACAAAAAGTTAAGTAAAAGTTGTTGTGTATTATGCCTTTCAAAATTTGGTGTGAAGTAAATGCTGATATAAATGTAGTTTTTATATGTAATGTCAAGTAAATACTGATGTATATATATATATATACAGTTTTTCAAATGTAATGTCAAGTAAGTGTTCATGTGTATATACAGTGTTTAAGATAAGATATTAAGTAAATGCTGATCTTTATACATATTTTTAATTAGATATGTTTAACAACTGTTTGGAAAATAATAAATACTCATTTTTTACAACTTTCAAAGCAGTACAAGAACCCAGGATAGCCAGTTCATTGAACCAAATATTCATTTTTTAATTTTTATTAAGAAAAGTTTTTGAATAATAAATAGAATATCGTAAATCTAATGAGGTTCGATAAACGAAACCTAAAAGTTTACAGTAATTTGCGTCCCGTAACCATGGGAACGTATTTATTCCGATACCATATCAACTGAGAGTATATGAAAGTACTGGAGAGCAACATCAATCGTTTTTTTTATATTTTTGTATGATTTTAAGATGTGCAAAGCAACAGAGATTTTCTGTTAAGTAAGGTTATGCTTACTGGCAAGAAAAGTTTAGACACTGTTGCCCAAATATGGAAACAAAATACTTACGTCATAATTTAAAATTTCAATAAACTGTTTTTCATCGGATATCAAAACTAGAGTTAGCTTTAAATGAAAATTAATTTTAAACCTGAAAATGAAGTTTGAATTAAGATAAACTATATGATAATTTACATTCTCCGATTCATTAAATATGGTAATAAATATTTTTATGTTTTGCACCCAAAGTTATACGTGTTCCCGATGAAACTCAATTTTGAATCTAACTGCCAACAGTTAAACACAAAAACGAATATAAACAAAGTTACTCCAGGTTCATGGTCAAATTCAATATTTATGCTAGCATGACACGATTTGCTGTTTGTTTGATATAATGTGCTCCTGTGGACAATTTTTATTTGACGTGTACACCTGGTGGTGACTTATCGAAGCCTTTACTACCGATATTTTACAGCACAAATATTTGGCGTTTTTTGTGTCTTGGCTGAGGAACCGTTACTTGCCATAAGGTAATAAATGTTCTTAACGTGTTTTCATTTTGTTTGTCTCGCTTTTTTAACTAATGTTTTTATCGCAGTATTCAAAAGATTTTTCAATTCTTTTTAGGTATAAGATACTTGTGCGTCTTCTAGCCCTCAGCTTATAGTGTTTGGAATAAAAAAAATGTTTCACTTTAAATCGAGATTCGGGCTCGTTCTCCTACCCATTGCAAAAAACAAACAAAAGAGGGTAGGTGTTTCTTCCAGTATCCATGAACGATTTATATTATATTTAGTTTGATTAGGAAAAAAAAAGTTTTTAAATTACCTTTGACTTCAAACCAAGCTACCTACTTAGATCAAAACTAAAAATTAACCGGGTAATGAGTATAGATAACTAAATATACTGTCAAAATGGACAAGTTAAGAATATGTTTGTTTTGTTTTTAATCATGCACAAAGCTACACAAGGGCTATCTGTGCTCTGCCCACCACGGGTATCGAAACCCGGTTTCTAGCGTTGTAAGTCCGCAGACATGCCGCTCTGCCACTGGGGGGCAGTTAAGAAGAATGTGAAGAAGAACATCTGCAATTTACGTAATTTTTATCACAAACATTAGGCGTAGTAATTTTTAATGCTTCGCCAGCTATCAGCTAAACCGTAACTTTATAAATACGAGGTGTCCACAAAGCCCTGTTCCGGTTTTAAAAGTATATTACAACAAAGCCAAAAGAGCTAGAATTATGTAATTTTTAACATCTTGTTGCTTAACTAATGATGTTTTTTTCTTGATTCACAGATTAATCGGAGTGTCCAGTTGCTAATGGTTGAAGTTTGAACGAAGATGGCGACTACAGAACATCTCAAACCGATTTTTATGGCTTTTACTGAACTTTACAAGTTTATAAAGATAGCAATAACTCTCCCAGTTAGCAAGCCGGGTGTGAAAAGAGCTTTAGGAAGCTAAAACTGTCCAAAATTCACCTTAGAACCAATATGGCAGATAAGAGACCGACGAATCCAACAGTACTTAGCGTGCACAGAAAACGCGCTCTTTCCATTGATCTTGATGATGTTGTGCAGGTTCGTTACTAAGTTTCCAACTACAAGGTTAACGTTGGTTTAAAGTCGGAGAGAAGGATCGTTCTGGTTGGTGTCTTGGTAAAGTCATGCTCTTGACCATTATTCATCAATCTACTTTTAAAGGGATTTGTTATCCCCCCCATTAAAAAACCCAGCAACAACAAAAAACTGGATATGCTCGAATGGTCAAAAAACCTTCTGATCCTTTACAAAGTCTGCGAGTACTTCGGGGTTTCAAATCTCAATACAAAGTATTTTTTCAAATACCCCATTGGATTCATGTAATTTAGTACGCTAAAATTTGGAGGGAATAACGAGTCCCTTTAAAATTTCACGTGAGTATAAGATGTCCTGTTTTGCCCCCCCCCCCCCAAATGTTTGGTGCTGGCGCTGCCACTGCCCAGGACATACGCCTTCTCAAACGCAAAACGTAGTTCTGTTCTGTATTATCATTAGTGTCATAATACAAGAAATGTATTATAAATAACCAATTCAGCATCTGATAATTAGCTAAACAATATAAAACCAATTCAGCATCTGATAATTAGTTAAACAATATAAAGTGCTACAGCAACATTCACTAGAACAAATGGAGAAAGTTAAAAACATATTCTAATGATTTTTTGAAGCCTTAGTTTTCAGACTGATGACAGCCCTTCATCAGAGGCATAAAACAATGTAATGGATCAACAACACTACACAAAAGGTGTATCACATTGTTATACGTATGTCACTATTACATGAGTTATATCGTTCTTTCTGCAGTGTTGTCAGGCTTTAAGTTATCTATGTTGGATACATTACATTGTTTTGTCCCTCTGATAAAACTTCAAATAAATATTTAGCTGTTGTTAAATGAAACGTGATCTGCGTATACATTTACTTAAATTATCTGATGAAACCTGTTCTGGCAAGACGGAAATAAGACCTTTAGTTAAAATGACACTTATTATAAACCATACAAAATAAAATCCTCTCCACCTAATTTGGTATTCTTTACTATTCGTTTACAAACACTAGCTAGGTTTGTTTGTTTGTTTTGAATTTCGCGCAAAGCTACACGAAGGCTATCTGCGCTAGTCGTCCCTAATTTAGCAGTATAAGACTAGAGGGAAGGCAGCTAGTCATCACCACCCACCGCCAACTCTTGGGCTACTTTTTTACCAACAAATAATGGGATTGACCATCACATTATAATGCCCCCCACGGCTGAAAGGGCGAGCATGTTGGGTGGGACAGGGATTCGAACCCACGATACTCATGATTGCGAGTCGAGCGCCCTAAACACCTGGCCATGCCGGGCCAACTAGATAGAGAAACGAAGTGAAACCACAATAAATTTAATTAAAATTACATTTCAATGGTAGATTTTCTTCAAAGCTATGAAGGAATACTTCTAACAAGTTTGTAGAGAATCCCTTTACAGTGTACCTAGGGTCTTTCAAAAAGAAAAATTATTATACATAAGGCGTCTGTATTTTCAACAAAAATGTAATATTAATGACTGTAGTTGTAACTTAAATATACTGTTTTTATTATTTTAAATAGAGTACAAATATTAAATATTTAAAAGTATTCATATGATGGGATGTATAATACATTTTTAGTTTCACTTTAAAGAATACAAATTTAGTAGAAGATTAGTGAAGAGGAAAATATTTGGCACCTTTAACAAACCAAAAGTAACTATACATTAAAATACAAAACCTTCTCTAGTTGAAGAAGACCGGACGTTAATAATTATGTTAAAAATACTAAAGAGGTAAATAAGTCCTTCTTTTTTTTTAATAGACGTGTTTAATTAGATAAGAAAGAAAAGGGTTGTGTAGTTTAATTCAAGCAATTTTTTAGCAGTATCATTAATCCTTATCTTAATGAGATGACAAGAAATATTTGCATTAAAAACACCAGTGAAAGGCTCTAGAATAACTAAGTAAATGTTTCACTACTCACTCGGTACACCGTGTTTTCTAGAGAGTCTGGCTCACTGATGAGGAAACACAAGAAAAAGACGTTGGCATCTTTAAACGCTAGAGGGCGCACAGTATTATAAGCGTGAGCACCTAAAAGAATAAGTATAAAGTTTAAGAACGATTAATTATCAGAAATTTTCAGTAAGAAACTTTTAAATTCAAGGCATACTTTTACAACATAAGTAAACTAATCATTTCTACAAACAGTTGGCGAGTATAAAATTAGGTTTCACTTGTAGATGAATGAATACAGGTAATCTGTGGTAGAAGTTCAAGAGAAACACTAGGTATTTCATAATTTATATTTATGGGAAGGAAATAAAGATGACATGTAATTTAGAAAAGTTTTCTCGCAAAAATGTTTATACGTCACTTTTAAATTTTGTTGCAATTGGGACAAACCCTTCATAGATTTAATGACTATTTTTCTTGCTGAAGTTATAATTTGTACAATGAATGTGTATCTTTAAGCTTACTTTTTACATGAAGAATGACTGTATGTTCTCCTTAGGTCATAATATTGCTACTAAGATCCAGCGAAATATCTTATGTAAAATAGGATTTTACAACTTTGTTCATATTCTCAAAACGTTATCAATCAAAAAAATATAACTTTATGATAATTTGTTAATCGTGAATTTCTTTTTCTATCTTAGCGAGCAAATTAGTCATGCCTCCTTCAAAATTAGGAACTTAATTAAAAGACGTATATCAATACCCATAACAGTGTCATATAAGTTAAGCCTGAGAAGCTGGCTATAGAAAAAAAAAGAGAATATATATACGTCTTGTCTAATTAGTTTCGAGTTCATCAGAACGAAAATACTTTTAAAAACCTAGAAATTAATTACGAATGTAGTCTAAGCATTAGAATGGAAACTAATTTACTAATCCTTTATATGCCTTTCTAGAATGTGCTTTACCAGAAACACGTAACTAAACACGTGAAAAATAAAACCTGGTCAAATTTAGAATTTAAAACTTTTAATCTATTTTACATAAAAATGCTACTAACAAAGGCAGCGAAAAGTAATACAATTAATACCAATATATTCACAACAAATCGGAATTCTTCAATTCAATATATTTTCAGCTAAAAAAACGAATCCTTTTTTAGTAAAAAAAATTATATCTTTTAACTATGTTTTCAAATGGTTACGGATTATTCTTTTATCAAAGATGTATATTTTCTAGTTATTTTTAAAGTGGTTGCAGATTGTTCTGTTATCAAAGAGGTATATTTTCTTGCTCTTTTTTTTTAAAGTGGTTGCAGATTGCTCTGTTATCAAAGAGGTGTATTTTCTAGCTATTTTTAAAGTGGTTGCAGATTGTTCTGTTATCAAAGAGTTATATTTTCTTGCTCTTTTTTTTAAAGTGGTTGCAGATTGCCCTGTTATCAAAGAAGTATATTTTCTTGCTCTTTTTTTAAAGTGGTTGCAGATTGCTCTGTTATCAAAGATGTATATTTTCTAGCTATTTTTAAAGTGGTTGCAGATTGTTCTGTTATCAAAGATGTATATTTTCTTGCTCTTCTTTTTTAAAGTGGTTGCAGATTGTTCTGTTATCAAAGAGTTATATTTTCTTGCTCTTTTTTTAAATTGGTTGCAGATTGTTCTGTTATCAAAGAGGTATATTTTCTTGCTCTTATTTTTAAGTGATTGCAGATTGCTCTGTTATCAAAGAGGTATATTTCCTACCCTTTTTTTTTGCCCCCCCAGTAGCACAGCGATATGCCTGCGGACTTATACCGCTAGAAACAGGATTTCGATACCCGTGGTGGGCAGAGCACAGATAGCCCTTTGTGTAGCTTTGTGCTTAATACCAAACAAACAACAACAACAACCTACCTTTTTTTTTTTAAAGTGGTTGCAGATTGTTCTGTTATCAAAGAGGTATATTTTCTAGCTTTTTTTCTTGAGTGGTTGAAGATTATTATTATTTTTTGCCAAAGATGTACATCTTCTAAATCCATACTTAAAGGGGGTTACATATTATTTATTTGGTTATGAAAATAACAGTACTAATTCGACAAACCTTTGACTTAGTGTTGGAGATAGGATAACAAAACAATATTAAATACGCATGATGACAGCATTATTATGGATATTGACAACGGTGATTGTCAGCATAATGATGTTGTATGAAAAATCTGACTATTTTAATAGCAAGCTTTCTGATCCACCACCGATAGTAAAAGTACATAAACAAGTTGGTAATTTTGAAGATTTCATCGCGTTTTAGGAATAACATTCAAGAACCATCATCTTGTGCATCAAAATGCAAAAGCAGTAACTTAGAATATAAAAAAAAAATCAAATCATTCTCCTTTGTTTGTTGGATTTTGTTTGCATTATTTTACAGATGATTTGGGCACGGGTAGAGAAATGGGCAGCAACTACTTAATTCAAAGTGTCACTTGTGAAGAAAATCTTGGAGGACTAATCTACAAAAATAGCTCATGTGGTTTGGTTCATTTTGGATTTCGCGTAAAGCTACTCCAGGGCTATCTGCGCTAGCCGTCTTCAATTTAGCAGTGACAGATTAAAGAGAAAGCAGATAGTAAATATCAACCACCGCTAACTCATGGGCTACTCTTTTACCAACGAATAGTGGGATTGATCGGAACATTATAACGCTCCTACTGCTGAAAGGACGAGCATTTCCGGTGACGGGGATTCGAATCCACGGCCGCAGATTACGAGCACTAACCACCAAGTCACGCCAGGCCTAACTCATATGGAAAGAGTGACGTTTCGAAAGACTTCCGTCTATAGTCTTCATTTTAGCTGGTATCGTTGAGTTCAATTTATCGTGGCAAATATTTAGATTTGAAGAACAGGGGTGCTCAGATATTGAAATATGTTTCTTTTCCCCGCTCGTGGTGTGGAATATGTAAATTGAAGTCTTCGTGGAAAACGTAATAAACAGAAAAATGAATCGGTTTTTACAGAGGTTTATATGATATTCGGGAAGACTGAGGTGGACGTGACGTGTTGGATGGCGGTTCTTGTAGCGTGGTTTGTGGAACCAGTGGTGATTTAACCAATGATAGCCACAAAGTGATTATTTCCAGGCCTGAGTGTCAATTTAACGATTGTAGAAAACTAGCAAAATCCAAGAATCTTTCTACATCAACACAATAAAACCACCAATAAGCGGAGACTCAGTCCTGGAAATAGCATTTTGTGGCTACCATTGGTCAAATCGTCACTCTTTTCACCAACCACGTTACAAACACCACCAGCCAATCACATAAACCACTGCAAGTTGACCCGAAGACAAAAGATGGAAGTCTTTCGAAACAACGCCTTTTCCACCCGAGCTATTTTTGTAGATTAGTTCTTGAAAACTTTCTTAATGTCACTCTGAACTAAACAGTCCTTGTCCATTTCAACTTTATTCATTTTGTTTGCAGTTGTTTTTTCACAATTCTTCCGGTGAAATAGTTATCTAGAGAAGTTCTTGTATTACGGAATTTCTTTAAGATTTAAGATACGTTTTCGAAGTATAGAGGGCGCATTCTGAATGTTAAAATGCTGCCTTTTTATTGTTGAACATTTTTTGAATAGTTTTATTCATTATTAGTACAAACCTTATTCAATGCTAATGGAAACTAGATACACAGTTGTTGTGTGTTGTCATGAAATTGTTTGACAAGTTTTGTGAAAGGAAATGCTAAATGAGAAGGTAAAGATGCTACTGTTGCATTAGTCGATAAGCATATTGTTGTGCTTAAAAAATATTTAGCTGACTTCTCCAATGCCATCAACTGGCTCCCAAAGGGCTTTTTGTGGGCTGAAGACGTGGAAAGCTGAACTTCTGAGAAGTCTTTCGTCTAACAACTTACATGTAATCAGTTAGGCTTAATCATATATAAAAGTTAAAAATCATTGTAAAAAGTACAAGACAAATAACATTAATTTGAGTACTAAAAGGTATAAAACTGATGAGTGAAATCTGAAAGCAGCAGACTGTATGATTAATTTAAACCAAAGAAACTGAAAGGTAAAATTAACTGCTACATTGATATACAAACTTATAATTACATCTATTCAGGAACTAAAATTATCCACTCTTAGTTTTCGACGTTTTACAAAATCACACCAAATGTAGAAGGGTGAATATTTAGTTAACAATTTCAGTCTTTTAATGATGGTGGGTATTATCTATCAAAAACATTGTTTTGGGCATTGCTGCTTCGTACGTTATGTGGGTAAATTCAATTTCATAAGAAAAGGGAATGATATTAAAGTTAGGTTCTATACTAACAGATCCGTTGATTGCAGAGTTAATAAGATCAAGTCCCACAATAACTGCTAAAGATACTTGAAAGGCTTTTTTTAGCGCAAATCCACACATTGAGCTGTCTGCACTCTGTTCACACTTGATGTTTACTTACGAACAGCCAATGACCCTATAACGATGGTCCAGTGGTTAAGGTGCCAAAATGATGAATTCGAGGGTTCATGGTTCGCGAACCGTTACCGCAGAATGGCGCTCCGCAATTTGGGGAAGCGAATGCGCTAAATGATTGACGGGCAACTTCTACTATTCGGATAATATGAAAAGCCCAAGAATTGGTGATGGGTGCTGTTGATTAGTTGGCTTTCTTCTAGTCATTCAGTTCAAAATTAAAGATAGCTATGAGCATATAGCACTTGTTATAGTCTTAAGCGAAAATTCCAAATCAAAAACCGATAAAGATACATGAGACTGCAAGGGAGTCTTCAGACATTTCCCATAATGCCTCTAATGAACGATATTTTCTTCAGTAATGCGGCTGTCTCTTGAAATCAATGACTATTAAATCAGTTTAGTTTGACAGACTCTGGACGGCGACGACCTCTCGTGCTACATTATCACTTGACCAACACTGAGCAGTATCTACGTTAATTTCGTTAATAACTGACTTGCTCAATTCAATATAGGTTTTAAATTTATCATATACTGATTCATGACACGAAGCGTTTAGAGCAATTTGTTATACACGATTAATAACTTTATATATTACTTTTCTGTTGTTCTGATCTATACAGTTCGCTTACTTTTGGTTAATAATTCTTATATTTCGCACAGTCATCCTAGCCTGTACACATTTTTCATTTACAGAAACAAACAAAAAATGTTTGAAAAATTAAGTGAATGTTTCTAACTTGAAAGGTAGCTGTATTTTATACATAGCCATAGCAACAACCGAAAGGTAGCTGTATTTTATACATAGCCATAGCAACAACCGAAAGGTAGCTGTATTTTATACATAGCCATAGCAACAACCGAAAGGTAGTTGTATTTTATACATAGCCATAGCAACAACCGAAAGGTAGTTGTATTTTAAACATAGCCATATCAACAACCGAGTTTATTTTGTTTGTTCTACATTATTAGATATGAAGATTCAAATATTAAACATAGAGCTGCTTTACCTCCTGCTTGAATGGAGTTTCACATGCTGATCATTCGAGGGAGACATGATACAAAACCTAGTCGCTTTAACTTTGTCACTCCGACATCGATTCATGGCTACCTCGAGATATAATAAGTCACAACTTAAAAACCCCGTTCCGTAATTTCACCTAACGATTCTCTGCAGTAAAGGTTTTTAAAAGCGCTTAAAAGTAAACTTTTACGAATGGTATAAAATCTCTAGTTTTTGTTTTCTGTTTTTTCAAGCAATTAAAAAAAAAATTAAAATGGTGTGCTTTCATTTGGGGCATTGCAAAAACAGTTTAATCCGGTCATTGATAATATTATTCAGTTGACTAGGGAAAAGTTTATCGATAAAATGAGGGAACGTGGTTGAGCCTCCATGTTCAACCAACCTCAGCCCTCGTGTTTTTTATTTTCTAGGTTTTATAAGCATGTCTACGCGACTTAAGTAACAACAAGTTGTTACCCAAATTATTATCATCATTCCTCAGGAGATACATCCTTTCCACGTGCTTCATTATTGAAAATCACCGAGTTTATCGACCGATATGTCCAGTGAACATTACGCATATTTAGGAAACTTGCTTTTCATTAATGTAAGCGTAGAATATACAAATCGTTTCTCCTATATTGCATGCGATTTTTTTTTCTTTTACTTTGTTCTCTTTAATAGAAGATTGTTGTTGCTGGTTTTATTTTCGACCTGATGAAACGATAATAAATCATATAGATTCACTGAAGTACCAAACAAGCGCTTCTTTGGCGAAGACAACCGGCTGAAAAACATGAAATACGACGACACCCTCTAACTGCAGAAACGAGTGGTATTCAATGAAATATTTGTGAAATGTACAGTTGTCCTTGCTTTTCACAGTTTGTAATTACGAAGTTTCACCGAGTACCGACGGTTTCAAATATATATATATATATAACAGATGGGCATGCACGTTTTCGAACAAACATGACACACCTCAAAAAATATATAGAGCCTACTGTATAGAAATTGAAGTTCATTATGAAAATACAACTACTAATTTATAGAAGGTGGAGTTAATTATGAAAAACAATCACTACTATATGAAAAGTCGAGTTAATTATGAAAAACAACTACTACTGTATAGAAAGGGGGAGTTAACTGTGAAAAACAACTACTATTATATAGAGAGTGGAGTTAATTATGGAAAATAACTACTACTAGTAATGGATTCATGATGGGGAAATCGAAGTTTAATAATGAAGATGAAGACGGTTGATAAAACATAACAAAAATTATTTACAAGGTTCGAACGTTTCGGAATAACTTATTCCATCTTCAGCGAAATCTGAAAAATATGTTACAAAGATGAATTTTACTAAACTTATAATAACATAATAATTACTTTACTTAGTTATTAAGAAGATCGGTAAATGGGCGGATGTAACAATGCTTATATATAATTACACAACAGCTGAGTTAAGTGTGAAAACTTAAAACAGTTTTATAATTACACAACAGCTGAGTTAAATGTGAAAATTTAGAACAGTTTTAGATAATGTATCATTTACTTCAGAAGGTCGCTGTTACTAAATATTTGTCAGTCATAAATGTATTGTATAAAAGTACATAATATACCAGTTTTCACATATAACTGAACTATGAATAATGCCTCTGTAATTAGAAAACAGTATAAAACTTTCATACAGTTAATTAAAAGTGTTTTCTTAAAAGAATATTTTTCGTTATCATTAGTCAAGGTGTTAAAAGAAATTATCTAAAAAATATTTACACTTTTCGATTAAGCCTCAAACGGTTTTTTTTTTGTTTCAAAGACCAGATTCCAACATTTTAACGCTATTGTGTTGTGGGCTGGATGTGGGCTATTGATAACTGATTAACGTGTCTAGGAGTCCAGTGTTTGAGATGTGATGCCACTGAACATGCTTCGAACTTTAAGCTACAGGCGCGTTATAAAAGGGACAGTGATTCCCATTATTCGGTTCAAAAAAGCGGACAAAACCGTTGTGATGGTGGTTGCTGCTGGTTGGTAGATTAAGGTTAAGGAAAGCTATATCAAAATCCTAACGGGTTTCTGACCACACCATTGGCCTTCCCGCACAGAAAAGAACAATTAAAACTGAGGTTACTGGATTCTTTGCATCTTTACAATTATTCTAAGGATTTTGGAGGTGTAACAGTTAGTTTAGATTTTTAAGGATTGTTGTAGGACTAGTGGTGTTACGAAGTTACGCACTAAAGGATTATGAAGTTATACAACTTGTTTAGATTTCAAGTTTTGTTGTAGGAATATTGGTGTTAGGAAGTTACGCACTAAAGGATTACGAAGTTATACAACTTGTTTAGATTTCAAGTTTTGTTGTAGGAATATTGGTGTTAGGAAGTTGCACACCTAAAAGATTACGAAGTTATGCAACTTGTTTAGATTTCAAGTTTTGTTGTAGGAATATTGGTGTTAGGAAGTTACGCACTAAAGGATTACGAAGTTATACAACTTGTTTAGATTTCAAGTTTTGTTGTAGGAATATTGGTGTTAGGAAGTTGCGCACTAAAGGATTACGAAGTTATACAACTTGTTTAGATTTCAAATTTTGTTGTAGGAATATTG